TCTTAATGGTTTTTGAGGTAAAGTTGCCTATTGTGAAATGCACAGTTCGTAAGTGTACAATCTGATGAGTTTGGGCAACTGTGCACATCCATATAACCAACACGTCTGTCACCTCAGTTCCAGGCAATCGCACCCACCACAAGCAGCCAGTGCTCTAATTTCTTTCTGTATACTAGTTTTGTCTTTTCTTGAACTTCATTCATATAAATGGAATCGAACAGCATGTTCTATTTTGTGTCTATCTTTTTTTGTTCAACATAATGCTTTTGAGATTATTTAAAGCTACTTAAGTATTTTGTATAAGTCTTTTTGCAGACAAATGTGTTCACTCTTCTTAGATAAATACCTAGGAGTGGAATGGCTGGATAGTGGGGTAGATATATATTTCACTTCATTTAAAAAAAAACTTTCAGTTTTCCAAAGCAATGCAATTATTTTATACTCCCACCAGTAGTGTAAGAAAGTTCCAGTAGCTGTACTTCTCCAGCATTTGGTGGTGTCACTGTTTTATCCATTTTATCCATTCTAGTGGACTATTTCATGGTGGTTTCCAATTTGCTTTTTCTTGATGTCTAAAGATGCTGAGCACCCATTCTGAGTACTTATTGATAATCATGCATCTTTGGAGAAGTGATCCTTCAAGTCTTTGCCCATTTATTTATTGGGGTTGTTTGTGTTTCAGTATTGATTTGTAGTTCTTTGTATAATATAGACCAGGGGTCGACAAACTGCAGCTCGTGAGCCACATACGGCTCTTTGGGTACATTTCGTCTCAACTTCTCAAATCTTTCTTTCATGGATCATGCTTTTGGTGTTGCATCTAAAAAGTCATCACCAAACCCAAGGTCATCTAGACTTTCTCCTATGTTATCTTCTAGGAGTTTTATAGTTTTGTGTTTGACACTTAAGTCTGTGATCTATTTCGAGTTAATTTTTGTGAAAGACATAAGGTCTGTGTCTAGATTCATTTTTTTGCATGTGGATGTCCAGTTCTTCCAGCATCATTTGTTGAAAAGACTAGCTTTGCTCCATTGTATTACCTTTGCTCTTTTGTCAGAGATCAGCTGACTATATTTATGTGGGTTTATTTATGGACTCTCTATTCTGTTATACTGATCTATTTGTCTATTCTTTCACCAATACCACACTGTCTTAATTAATGTAGCTTTATAGTAAGTCTTGAAGTCAGGTAATGTCAGTCCTCCAACATTGTCCTTCTTCAATATTGTGTTGGCTATTCTGGGTCTTTTGCCTTTCTATATAAACTTTGGAATCAGTTTGTTGACATCCACAAAATAAGTTGCTGGGGTTTTAATTGGAATTGCAGTGAATCTATAGATTAAGTTGAGAAGATTCA